ATTTGAATTTACTCTACCAGAATAACAAAACGTAATGACACGGAACTGCCTTGACAGAAGGACTCTCTATAAAATGTTACACAATAAATATGGCAAATCGATTTATATTCGTCAGCAGCAAGGGAAACCAACAATTATTTATTACAAATATTTCAATATAGGGAGTATGTGCAACAAATTTTATTGGGATGAAGACTATGATGAATATGAGAAAGAGGTAGTTCTCAAAACTGCGGCTCGGTTACTTAGGACAGATATAAAGGCCAAACAATATAATGTAGAGAGTTTTCCACCAGCCACGCAATTTCTTGATGACATTGATAAGGACGTTCCTGATTCACTCCGATATTTCCTTAGTGCATTGATTGGAAACGCACAAAGTGATGATTATCTTGTGAAGAGAAAAATTATTTCACATTCCATAATTTCAGCAATTCGTTCTCGCACATTCATTTCAACATTGCAGTTAGCAGGTGGTACTTATATTTATAGGAAGACTGCCTCAAGGCAAATTATCGATATGTTAGATCAAATGGGTGTCTCTGTGTCATATCACCATTTGCAACAATACGAAACATCTGTTATATTAAATCCACCTGAAATGACCATTGAAGATGGGGTCCATGTTCAGCACGTATTCGATAACACGGATCATAATGTCGGCACGTTAGATGGCCATTATACGTTCCACTGCTTGGGTGGCATTGCGATTTACACCCCTGGGAAATGATTTATATTTTTTCTATCGACAGATTTCTTGTGGCTGCACAACAGACTGTGCTTACTCATGGTGCGGGTGCGCTAAAGCTGGAATGCGATGTTCTCAACTGTGTAAAAACTGCAATGGTCTTAGTTGTAACAATGCTTCCATCATAAAGCCTGACATAGAGGAGGCTGTTATTAACGAATTGTCCACTGCCCTGGATGAAGTAGATCAAGAGCATGAGGCTGATACGATGAATGAAGACGATGAAATGCTCAATTATGGCAACTATTTTGATGAAAAAGATTTTTTCTACAAACGTGTTAAAAATGCAATTTTTAACACCCTCCCGTAGCATTAAAAATGTTACTTTATCGCACTAGTGCCATAAAATCTTTATAGCACTAGTGTTAAAAATGAAACATCAAATTTTGAGAGCGAACGTCAAAAAAAGGTTGTATTTTTAGTTATTTACATTGATATTAATGGTGAAATTTGAACAACTGATGTAGCCCGATTGGCCGCCTCATCTATATTTTCAAGGAATCGATGCAACCCTCTTTTTCTTTTGTATTTTGTTGCATTTTTAGTAAAAAGCATCTGACCACGACAGACTTTCAAGAAACTGACAAGGCATTTCATTACCTGTAAAACAAGATGCTACTGGTTGCTTGGATTTTTTGACAAATATCAAAAATTCTTTTCAAATTTTGTTGTTGATTTTCTATTTAATTTTTTTTTTTAATCCGATATCAGAGTCGCTTGCCAGTGAGTTCAGTGACGCATTTTAAGCACTCCAGAGCTGCTCTAGAGCGCCCCGGGCTGTTTATAGGTGTTCCAGTGTATCAGAGTTTTACGCAACCGAACTTTTTTTTTCGGGATAAAAAATAGCCTATATGACTCTCCTCTATAGCCGATTCGATTGACCGGATTAGATCGATCTGGTTCAATTTAAATGAACCAGACTGTGTTCGATTCAAGCTGGATCAGTGCACCCTTATCAACAAAAAAATGATCTAGGTCAGAAGAAGTTCACTTAAATTGAACCCAAATCGATCTAATCTGGGTCAATCGAATTCACCTTATATAGAGATACGTGGTATTAATTCAAGATCGGTCCAGCCGTTCTTGAATTCAAAAAATAATATAGTTACGTCGGTTGAATGCAAGCCTAAATAAATGAAATATGTCAACGTTATTTCATGCTGTCAAAAAAAGTTGGGTTATATTGTTATGTAATGTGAATGAGTTTGTTTACAATTAAATTAATAATTAATTCATTTTTTCCGAGATGCGTAACCTATCCACAAACCCTCCTTGGGATGGCCATAATAACCTACCAAAGTTTCAACGTAATCGGATAAGTGGTTTTAGAGCGCATATCCGGATACCCCGTGAACTTTGATTTTTATATATATAGATTTAAAAATCCAATTTGTTATTGGTTATTGCTTTTTATTTCCGTTTGTAGAAAAAATATTGTGATATTTGTGTTAAAAGTATTTTTAAGGCACTTATGTGCCTTTCCCATGCGTGCCTTGAAAATGTACTTTTAACACTTACATCATAAATAACTATAATGTGCAATTGAAAATTTTGGAAAAAAAAGATGAAGAACTAGATTACCTATCTAAAAAGTCACGTAGATCTTATTCCATTCCTGTCTGAAGAATATTAACAATGTTAGATTGAAATGATTTTTTTTCGTTTATTTGTTTTTTAATGAATAATTATACAGTGTGTCCACTTAAGTTCGCAGCATATGGGAAACTTTTTTATTATCAATTTTAAAAAAAGTTATTCTTTATAAAAGTTTCTGCTTCTTGAAAAAATAACTACTAAAACTTGAAATAGCATGTACAGGGTGGTCAGAAAATAGAAAAATATACAAGGTGTTTCTTGAGTACGGTTCGTAACTTCAGGATGTGATTCCTCACAATATTTTAAGAAAAAAAGTTCCCATAAACATGTGTCCGGAAATGCGTAGTTTCTGAGATACATGGTGTCGAGGTTTTAGAAAAAATCGTGTTTTAGCTCAAAAATCCATTTTCCAATTTTTTTTTTTTTTCAAATTTGGCAGATCTGTTTGTGATAACGAAAGGTATCTTTTGACTGTAATATGACTTGCTGAATCTAAAAAAAAATATCAAAGGTTTTAAAAAATAGTGACGTGTCATTATTTTTCTACTTTCGCCGTTTTTTACCAAAAAATTCTCTATATTTTTCTATTTTCTGACCACTCTGTACATGCTATTCCAAGTTTTGATAGTTTAATACTATTTTTTCAAGAAGCAGAAACTTTTATAAAGAATAACTTTTTTTCTTAAAATTGATAATAAAAAAGTTTTCCATATGCTGCGAACTTAAGTGGACACACTGTAGAAACGTGAATATAAATTATGAATAATATAACGAAACAAATTTTTTATTAGGTAAAACAAACAGTCCCTTGAATTTATTTTGTCTGTTATTTAATTATTCGAATCCTGACAAAAAAAGTCGATGGAAAAATGACTGAGTATCACCAAAGTTTATCACGTTATGCATTTGCCGAGCGCGGCGTCAGTGGCGCCCCTGCGGGATTCTCCTATTTTTCTCGGTAGCGAAACTTTGAAATTAGCTAAAGGGTTAACGATAAATGATAGAGAGAAAAACTTCAAACGTTTTTAACGCAAAATTTTACAAGCTCTTACATTTGTTTTGATTTTTTTTCCCGATTTCTCATTCGTTTGCATAATATTATATTCGAGTTTCAACCCTTAAATATTTTTTTTTCACCCTTAAGCAGGGGACTAATAGTTAAAATTCATGCGTAGATCGATTTAGAATGTTGAAAACCATAATATATGAAATTTTCAGCCTGTTACTCAAATTTTGTCTCAGTTAAGACCTCGTCTCTACGACTATTTATCAAAAATGCATTGCCTGCCTAATTTTGACTGGGTTTACATCAGATAATAAATATAGCTTTCAAGTTCTAATCAGCGCCAGTTAATCGTCTGGAACTTTTTTTTTTTGTTTATTTGGCACGTTGACACGATTACTCACTTTAGATATTTATAAACACCTCGAGAATTTATTATAAACAGTGCAATAACCTCCTCATTCCGTACCATAACATCTTGATTCATTTTATCCGTAATGAATGTGTAAAGGCCAAATTACACAAGGAAGGAAACTGATCTCGTTCGGCGTCGAATAAATTATTTTTATTATAAATCACGTAATTATTATTGGTTGAATCAAGGATATCGAGTTGACTTGCAATTTTCTTTGTCTGGTGTATGTTACATATTGCTCTTAATCCATAAATTGTAGAATTAAAACTGTCGCCTAGGAATTTAATTATGCTTATCTCCTATTATTGTCAGAGGATGATAAAACGTTGATAATTCTATACAAATATACCTACCACTTTTATCGCATTATATTGTGTATTTGCTGATAAATGCGTCTCAAATATCCATTACAATTACTTGCACGATCGATCAAAAATGGAAAAAGAAATAATTTCCTCTCCGGTTATTGGACTTCATCCATCACTGGAGGCGTTTTTGTAAAGAAAAGTCTTATAGTTCAAGGAGTGTTAGCAGATGTCTTTTCTTTGGTGCAGTGATTAATTGATCCCCAAAGAGTCTATCAGAATTTTGTTGTATAACGTAAATTGAAAATAAGTTTATTTAAATGGAGTTCAGCCACCGATCGATTTTGTAACAGTGCGGTTTTTCTACTTTTTTCAATATTATCGACACAAAGAATTTGAGGTTATGTTTATCAAAAGTCCCATTTTTCGCAAGCTAGTAGAACCAAGTTTGAATCTACCAATACACCTGAAGCAGTGATGCCAACTCTGGGCCAACTTTTGTATGCTAGGAATAGGATTCATTCGAAGACTAAGTAATAAACAAAAATTCAATCGATTTGCATTGTCAATTGTCACAAATTGTTTTGACAACACTGTATATTTTGACGCAGTCTGTATAATTTGGGCAACATTTTGACATTACTAATGGGCCTTTTTCTATAAAATCTGGCAACCTTGTCCAAAAATCCATAATTCCCATTACATGGAAGCAAACAAAAAATCGACTCGAGATATAAAAAAAAATCTCTAGACGCCGCCTTGAATAATGGCCCTTCATTTCTGATACAATCAGTGTAAAGATTGAAGGGCTGCCAGCAAAAAAATCGGACACTTTTTCTTTTTTCGCTTTTGGGTCGTATTTTTATATATTGAAAAATGACTTGAGCTATTATTATAATCGGAAAAAAGAAAAGAGAATATAAATCTACTTACATAATCGTCCGAAAGAGTGCGACAGCCTCTTTCTGAGCTTTTGCATGCGAGAGAGGGCGCCGCTCTTTTTTTCGCGCATCGTGACTCCTCCGCAGGTGGGCAGGCCCGGTACTCCTGAAAAAATCAAATTCAAAAATTATAAACAAAACAATTTGTGGCTCACCAAATTCCAATTTCTTAGGTAAATTGGGCTCACTTTTCGAGTTGGCGAACATTTTTTTTAAGTGCGACAAACTCATTTTGCGCACCCGAAGCAATTATTCCGAATAAATAAAAATCATGACACACACTAGCTACCGAAATCTCCATTCTACAACTATGTACTACATAATGTATTTTGGTATTATATTGTATAGATGCCTATCTTGGAGTGATAAGGAAATTTTGTGGGTTTTTTGTGTTTGTATTATGTATATCAGGGCAGAAAGCAATAATAATTGAAATGACTCAGTTTTGGAAAAGTTTTCAAGGAAAATGATACTTACTAGAGCGGGAAAAGATTATTATTGTGACACATTCTATATCAATGAAGAATTTTAGGAAATTTTAGTTTTTAATGAATGTATTTCTAACAAGTAACAAGCGAAGAAAGTGGAACTTTCTATAGAAGTATTAGCGAATAATGTTAGAAAGTCTACTAATCTATTTTTGAAGTGAAAACTTCTCTAGGCGCGTTCAGCACTATTTTTTTTTTCTAGGTAGTGATTAGTGAATGAGATTCTTTACCGTCACGCCCGACTTGTTAACGCTCATTCGGTCGGATACAGTCGGCTAGAGCGAGAGAGAAACAGTCAGCAGTGCGAGAAAGAGAGAGAAAGAGATAGCGCGATTGGAATTCAATCGAGACTCGTCCTGGAACAAATTTTGACGATGTTGCCGATATCATTAGCAAAGTGTTTAATTGCTTATCATAGATATCCTAGTGCATACAGATGACGTCATCAGACGGTTTTTATGGAGATTTGCAATAATCGCTTTCGGAAAGTGTGATCTGATTAATCGGTTCGATCGGCTTAGTAATCTCATCGTTCGTAAGATGATCCGAAATCCAGTACTCGCGTTCGGTAAGTGATCTTGTTGACTCGGTTTTCTCATATGTATGTGATCTCGTTAACCCTGCTCTTGACGTGGGTAGAAAATTAATCTATCCGCTGTTTGATTTTTTTGGTTATGTGTTATGTTCATTTTATAGGTTTTGTTTCCGTTTTGTGTTTAATTCTTGTAGTTCGTTGTGTTTGGGGTGGTTTTCAGTGTCTTTGAAAAGTCAAAGGTGAAGACCAAAGACCTAACCTCAAATCTTTAAAGGAAAACAATTCATTGAGAAAAACAAACGCGAGTGCCGGAAATATTCGACCCCAATAATTGTTCGGAAACGTTGAATAATCTACTTTAATATTAACCTACTCGATCCAGGATTTATATTTCCGAAAGCAGCTATTATGTTTAGGCATTCAGATGACGTCATTAAAGTCATCAAGCAACCTAACCTTAATTCAAAACGCAAATGCCAGGATTCAATATGGCGGCAATGGTCAAACATCTGTGATGTTTGTTTATTAAATTTTTGTTAAAGGGCGGGTATTATAAAACTATTCTAATAAGTAACTAAAACTTTTGAAATGACGTCACATAATATCATTATAGTTAACTTCAAAATGTCTAGGAGCTAACGTTATCGGGTGGATGGGGTATCGGTTAAAGTTAACTCTCTAGGAAATCCCGATTTCTGACAGTGAAAAATTCTAGGTTACCTTTTTCTTTCTGTCCTCTTTTTTTTTCCTATTTTTCTTCTTTTTATTTTCGAAATGAAAACTGACATTTTAGAAACTTAAGTTAACTTGAGTGTTACAAATACAATCAAGGATTACTTTTAAACATGTTCATAAATACCCGCCCTTAATCGTTTTATTGATTTTTGACGGGGTGACGTCATATTCTGGTTAAAATAATCTCCCCGTTAGTTACGTCATTGGTTACAAGTTTTTGAAGTGCTTCTCCGTGTAAAGTCGTTCTTATCTTGTCAAATTACGACAGGAATGACGTACATTTTTTACGTGAATATAGAGGAGAGCTTATCAATACGATCTTCTTGTGAGTCACAAGTTTTATTATCCTGCTTTATCTGTCTCCTTTTCTTACTCATTGAATTTCTTACATGATTGTTTGTTATTTTGTTATTCCAGGCTTTTGATTGGTCAGACAAAGCCTACTCGAACGCTGGAAATAATAGAGTAATAGACAATGATATAAGAAATTCAGTGAAGAAGAGACACAGATAAAGTAGGATGAGAAAATTGTGACTCAAATTATCATTTTTCTCGGCGTTTGAGTGGGTTTCTAATTTCTGAATTTTGCCAATCAAGAGCCTGGAATAATAAAATAATAAAGAACGATATTATAAATTCAATAGGTGAAAGAGAGACACAAGTAAATTAAGTAGTAGGATCTAGAATCATAAGCTAACAGGATTTTTCATCCTTATAGGGCGTACGTTCGCCAGTTCTCGAGACGACAGTTGGTCTGCTCGTGACGTCACCATTATAAGCAGCCGACTGTGGTGACGTCACCCGCAGACCTCGATGGTTTGGTTGCGATTCAAGTTGTGCTTTCGTCGATTTTAGATATATAAAAAAGGTGATTTCAATCAGACAAGACAAATTTGAAGTCAATCTGAAGCTTAGAAATAAAATTATGAGAGTTTTTCATCTTAATACCAGAAAAAGTTGGAAAATTCACGGTAAATCACCTTCGAAAAATCGTGAAAAATACTTCGGAGTATCAGATTGATATCAAACTTTCAGGATTCATTAACCAGGATGTTTTCATCAAACAAGGCAAATTTGAAGTCAATCTGAAGCTTAGAAATAAAATTATAAGGTTTTTTCCAACTTAATACCAGAAAAAGTTGGAAAATTCACGGTAAATCACCTTCGAAAAATCGTGAAAAATACTTCGGAGTATCAGATCGATATCAAACTTTCAGGATTTATTAACCAGAATGTTTTCATCAAACAAGGCAAATTTGAAGTCAATCTGAAGCTTAGAAATAAAATTATAAGATTTTTTCCAACTTAATACCAGAAAAAGTTGGAAAATTCACGTTAAATCACCTTCGAAAAATCCTGAAAAATACTTAGGAGTATCAGATCGATTTTAAACTTTCAGGATTTATTGACCAGGATGTTTTCATCAAACAAGGCAAATTTGAAGTCAATCTGAAGCTTAGAAATAAAATTATAAGGTTTTTTCCAACTTAATACCAGAAAAAGTTGGAAAATTCACGTTAAATCACCTTTGAGAAATCCTGAAAAATACTTCGGAGTATCAGATCGATTTCAAACTTTCAGGAGTTATTAATCAGGATGTTTTCATCAAACAAGGCAAATTTGAAGTCAATCTGAAGCTTAGAAATAAAATTATAAGGTTTTTTCCAACTTAATACCAGAAAAAGTTGGAAAATTCACGTTAAATCACCTTCGAAAAATCCTGAAAAATACTTAGGAGTATCAGATCGATTTTAAACTTTCAGGATTTATTGACCAGGATGTTTTCATCAAACAAGGCAAATTTGAAGTCAATCTGACGCTTAGAAATAAAATTATGAGGGTTTTTCATCTTAATACCAGAAAAAGTTGGAAAATTCACGGTAAATCACCTTCGAAAAATCGTGAAAAATACTTCGGAGTATCAGATCGATATCAAACTTTCAGGATTTATTAACCAGAATGTTTTCATCAAACAAGGCAAATTTGAAGTCAATCTGAAGCTTAGAAATAAAATTATAAGGTTTTTTCCAACTTAATACCAGAAAAAGTTGGAAAATTCACGTTAAATCACCTTTGAGAAATCCTGAAAAATACTTCGGAGTATCAGATCGATTTCAAACTTTCAGGAGTTATTAATCAGGATGTTTTCATCAAACAAGGCAAATTTGAAGTCAATCTGAAGCTTAGAAATAAAATTATAAGGTTTTTTCACCTTAATACCAGAAAAAGTTGGAAAATTCACGGTAAATCACCTTCGAAAAATCGTGAAAAATACTTCGGAGTATCAGATCGATATCAAACTTTCAGGATTTATTAACCAGGATGTTTTCATCAAACAAGGCAAATTTGAAGTCAATCTGAAGCTTAGAAATAAAATTATGAGGTTTTTCCCAACTTATTACCAGAAAAAGTTGGAAAAATCAGGTTTGAGGCTCATAAACAGATTATTAGGGACCCTGGACTTTTGGATACAAATTTTTAATGCAGTAAAAATGTGGTAACGACGTGATCACTGTCAGCTGCTGAAAGTGGTGAAATCACCCGCAGACCACGATGGTTTGCTTGCAATTCAAGCTGTGCTTTTAAATGTAGAAAAGGTGATTTTAACGTTTTTTTGACAAATATAAATGTTCTTAACTCGAATAATGCATTTTGCGTTAATAGTTGAGGTCTACGGCTGACGTCACACATAGTGGGGAGTTGTCGCATGGATATGGCAGACACTTTCAGCTCAATTAACAGTTCTATGTGTTCTTTATATTTTAGGTAAAACTTTGAAAATAGAGAAGGGCTTATCGATACCCCCTCGATAATGGCATACGAAAATGTTATTCCATTACTAGCAGTAATAGGCCTAATTGAAGAAAATTAATTAATCGGAAAATTGAAATGTGTACATTTTCCGCCTATATTTGTGCGGGCGGACAATAAATAATTGTGATTACGAACACTAGGCTCGCCATTGATTATTTTCATAACGAAAATAAACGAATGACTCACGCGGCAATTAAAACCCTCTCTTTTAAATTACCATCATAGAACATTATTGACGTTGTTGTAATGGGTTAATTGAGACAATAATTGAAGTCAGCTGTAATGACGTTATTGTTCAAGTTATATCAAAAGGAATTTTCAAAGGTTTCTTGGAACCTTTTCCTAAGGAATTCATTCCAAAATCTAAATTATGTCTTCTCTGACTCATGCTTGGAATATTTTAAAAACCCATCTATATGCAGTTTGTATGCTATTAGGAACTGACCAAAGGAAGTGTGAATGTTTAAATTATTTAATAGTTGAATGAGTAATAGAAATTTCATCTTTATAAAAGTTCAGTCATTGCATTTTGTTCAAGAAACTTTTCTTAAAACAAGAAAAGTCAATCTTTTAGCTCGGGACTAAAAATTTTGTTTGAAAAAGTCAAATATTTGTCGAGGATCGATCAGAAAACA